GGGTCGTTGTTGATTTACAAAAATCTTACACATATCTCGTCTTCCGGCGTGATGTCTTCATATTTTGGAACTTGTTTTAAGTTCCAAAATTTTTTTAGTTGCATATTCAAATGCTCATTTGTGGCATCTTCTACCTGAGTAGAGAAAGTTGCAACTCCTTCTGGGATCTGGCCGCTCAAGATCCAACCGAATATGGTGTTCTGAGCAAGTAAGTTGGGAGAGATTCTTTCAATACCATCAAACATATTTTGGGGAAGCAATCGCTGCCTATAACCAGGTCGATTTGGGAAGGAGAATGACAGTTAAGTATCAAGATGGGACCATTTCTTCTTTTGCTCGGAATTTATAGGGAATTTTGGAAGCAACTTGGTTAATTGGAGCAGTGGTATCGCTTGCGCAAGGATTTCACGCTTTAGATCAGAGCTGACTAAGAGCAAGGAACTCAATTTGTTTGAGGTCTGGGCAATTTTTCCGCCCATGCCGGAGATCTCGAAACTCGAAGCTTGGCAAGGTAGCCTTAGTCTAGACTGGTCTTTCGATGATAAAAGTGCGTGGGGAGCCTTGATCAATGAGTGCTCGCAGTTTGAAGAGCTCATGTTTTACATGGACTATCGCAGTAGGGCGGAGTACTTGGTTTTCATTTTCTGCGTAAAGAGTTCGTACTTGATTGGAACATTGGGGGAGCTCGTCTTGGTTTTCCGAACGGTCCGGCGTTTGCAGGTTAGCAGAAGCTGTTGCATTCTGAGAATGGGTTCTCCGCGGTTGTGGTTGAAGTTGGTTAGGCGTGGAGGTTACGTCCTTGTAGAGAGTTGTGTGATGCCTTCTTTAACATTTATAACACGTCCGGTCAGATGGATAGTCTTGGATGGTATGCGTGGAGGACAGGCAGTTGGTGCACAAGTTATGTACCCTCACTAGTTTTTCGCGATCGTTTATGGAGAGTCTTTTATATTTGAGACACTGACTAAGGGAATGGGTTTTTTGTTTGCAGATAACGCAAGCGAACTTTTTCCATTGTTCTGTTTTGTGTGACTGGACGTGAGAAAATGATCTATTTTGTGACCCGAGGGTTTGCAGTGGTTTTGAAAACGACCTATTGTGGGTAGCCTTTTGTTACTATTATTTGCGAAATTAAACTAGTCTTTGGGTGGGCCATTGGTCGACCCTTTCAACTACCTTGTATCTTGTGGTGAGCAAC